GCCGATCAAAGGTGAGACTCTATGTGGCAGAGGTGTCATTGATGATTTGATTACCCAAATTTGAGGTACGTTCTCTGAGCGGAAAGTACCTAGGGACTGTGCGATCCTTCGCAAAGGACCGTGAGGCCCTCAACATTCTTGCATATTCTCGCGGAAAGTCCGCGTTCGATTAGAAAAAGTCCAACTTTCTCGCAAATTTTCCCAAATATCCGCAAGCGGACCGCAAGAAATCGGCGGACTATCTTTCCGGTTCCCGCTTGCTTATAAATCGTATGGCCGCCTACCCGCGGCTATTATCTGAGCAGTTCAGCGGCTTGCAGCACTCTCGGCACCTAAATCGAGGAGTGGTTTGCATCGCGCGGGCCGCGACACCTATTCCCATAAGCAAAGAAAAATCGTCCCATTCCAAAAAATCTCAATGTAGAGCCTGTCAATTCCAAGATCTTGGCTGCACTCGATTTTTGCAAGCTCTCTCAACTTGCCTCTTATCACCTCGCAGCAGGCTTTGATAATACGAGCACTGCCAAGTTTGATGATGGGCTCAAAAGATCTGAAATTCGTTCCAAACAGTAGTTGCAGCAGCTAAAATGCTTTATCATAATAAAAAAAAGTAAAGCTCAGTCCAATCAGAGGTACTTTTTTGTTGTTAAAAAAATAGATGTTTATACTTAGGAAAAACCTTTGTCCCTGTGATCTTCCAAAAATCCTTTTGCAAGTGATTGGCAACTTTACAACTTAATGCATGAAGAAGATCCCTTAAATTTGAGTAAAATAAGTTTTTATAGCGCGAGCTTATAAACTGTTGATATGGAGATTCCCTTCTTATCTAAATCTTTGCCCACGGGGTTCAAACAAAGCCAGAGCTGAAGGATTAGGATTCAACTAACATAAGATTACTAAGTCGGTCATAAAAGAGAGCTTATGGTCGTGCTTAAATTGCTTTTTAGAAAACATGTTCGCGTATTATGTAGCTGAGATGAACGGAACTGCAACAGCGAAAGTGTTATCCATTGGGCTTGGTGGTGGATTTATAAATTCTTACCTCCACAGGAATTATAGAAGAGTAATTTTCTTTTATGAGTTTATGAGTTTATCTTGAAGGCATCGTAAATTGTAAAATTTGAGATGAATATAACCGTGGTTGAAATAGACGAGGTTATGCTCAATATCTCGAGGACATGGTTTGGACTGAATTTGGACAACAAACATCGAGTTATCATCAGAGATGGTGTTGAGTATGTTAGAGAAGCTGCAAGTGCTCGTGAGTTCACTGCACAAAAGGCTTTGGGGCTGATATAGTAGATTTTTCAATTTAGGTGAAACATTCGATGTCATATTCCTTGATGCCTGCACAATGGACCAGAACGCACCGGTCAATTGTCCGAGTATTCGCTTTTTGCATCGAGATGTTGCGGAAAGTTTTCACGCGTTGTTGGGCCATACAGGTATGCGACGTAATGACTTGGACAGATAAAAGGGAAGAAATCTTATTTAGGGATATTGGTAATGCATGTGATGACGCCGAATCCCAAATATCTCGTTGCTGTATCTAAAGCGGTAAGCAAAGCTTATACAAGCGTTTTTCAGCAACTTGGTGTGAACGAAAAGGAGCCTGTTGCGTCATGTCATAAGATCTGTTCTTTTTCTGCATGAAAGTAGTACGCCAACGAGGAAAATAGCAATTTGCGCTTGCTCAATCTAAATGACATTGTAGGATGCTAGCACTGCAGAATTATCAGGTTTTGAAATAAAGAGCACTTTTTGATTGCAGACAAGGTGACCATGATAATGGAACATTTTTGCTCACTTTCTGTTTTTCAAATTATGTCAAGGCATCCTCCCTCTATGTGATAAAGC